TGCACGCCACACCTTTAAAAAAAAATTTTTTTTTAAAGTGTAAAACTCATTCTTCTTACCCATATTCTCTACTGAACTCTAGTCCTCACTCTTTCATACCGTCTTCTGAAAGAGCTGGTCGAAGGACAAACACCGTATGATTTCACCTGCATGTGAAATCGAAAGAACAAAATAAACGAACGAAATTGAAACAGACTCAGATATAGAGACCGGCCTGACGGTTGCCGGGAGGAGGGGGAGGGGGAGGGGAGGGGAGGGGGAGGGGGAGGGGAGGGAGGGGAGGGAGGGGAGGGGGAGGGGCAGGGGAGGGCAGGGGAGGGGAGGGGGAGGGGAGGGGAGGTGGGAGGACTGGGTGAAAAAGGGTGATGGGATTAAGAAGCGCAAATTGAAAGTTACAAAATTGTCACGGGGCTGTCAAGTACAGTGTAGGGGATATAGACAATAACATCGTAATCACATATGGTGTCGGGTGGGCACTGGAAACACGGCGGCGGGGGCGGGGGGCGACACTGTGAGGTCTACGCATGTCTAATCACTATGCTGTATGCCTGAAATTAATACAAAGTCATACTGAATGTAAATTTTAACTGAAAAAGTTTTTCAAGTTAAAAAAAAAAGAGCTGAGTAGATATTCCTATAAAGATCTAGAGGAGGCTGGATTTAGAAAGACATCTTAAGCCTACAGAATAAAACTCTTCTAAGAAAGTGGGAGAGAAGAACAATCGCTGAGTTTCTGGCCATGTACAAAGAACGTATTTTTCTCTTTTTATCCGTGTAACAACCCTACCAGGCGTTATTTTCACCTTGCAGGCGAAGAAAACCAAGCTCACGGAGGCTAATCCACCTCGGTCTACAGGAGCGTGGCCAGCAGAGGCAGGAGCTGGATTCCAGACCACGGCTGTCTGTCTCCTGCATTATTAGGCTTTTCCCCAAGTTGACTCTCCTAACACAGTCAGTTCCCCAATTCCGCTTTAACTCAGATGGCTCTGTATCTCAGCAATTTCTCCTCTTTCCATGAACTCGGCAAAGTACCTATGAAGAACTTTTATCGACTATTAAGGTCTTACTGTTTTCCATAAGCACTTCCGCTACGTAGACATGAAATACAGGCCAGGTTGCCTTTATGTTTAAACCCTGCACACGGAGAATTCCCAGGCATCTCTCCTGCCCAACACGGATTATTATAACTAAATGGACTTCCAGTCCTTTCCACATTATCATTCATTCGCCCACTCAGGAAATAAAGGAAGCCACTCTCACCAACCCTCCCTCGTGACCCCAGAGAGATAATGGAGCAAAGGTGGGGCCCTCTCAGTGAAGTAATTTACATAAAAGTTATAAAAGCTCCTTGTTATCTCTCATGACCAGGAAATGGACTACTCCAGAAAAATCAAACATCCTGAATAACACGATGCTTTTAAAGGGACTGCCAATGTATAAAGAATTTCAAAGCAACAGAACAGTCACAGTAGAGGCGCCCAGACCTGCTACAAATCAGAATCACCTGGGGAGCTTTTGGGACAGCTCCAGAGAGGTTTTTTTAAATGTAGATGATGGTCATTGCTTCCCTACTCAATCAAAATCTCCAGGAGGTGGGACTAGACTTGAAAAATCTGTGTTTTAAAGGAGCCCCTCAGTGACTCAGCTGCCAACTGCTGGGTACCGAATCTTTCAAGGAACACTGGCTTTTGGGAATTCCTCGCAATAAAAGCTGCTAAAAAGGTTAAAGCCACAATGAACACGATGTGAGCTTCTTTCAAGGCTTAAGAGACTTCAGGCTCTTGCCAGTGCCTCCAGTTCCCCCCCACGCTGACCAAACCAGAAGGAAAGGGCAAGTTAAGGTTTCATATTGGTAGAAAGCTGGAAAAACCAGCTTTGGTTTTTCTATGAAATCCAAAGAGCTAGTTTTCCCCCAGAGGAAATGCAGACTTTATGCTTGCTTCGAAAAAGGAAAATGCTTAAAAATATACAGTAGGACTCTCTTAACCAACTGCTTAGCTCAAATTCAGAATGTTGGCAGGCCCAAAAGCAGCAAGAATGGGGCACATTCAAGCTGCGTGAGAGACAGCAGAGAAACTTCAAGACCGTCCTCACTGCCAGAAAGGAGGACAATGAGTTTAAATGCAGAATGGCATTCCAGGATGAGGGAAGACCACTGTCCTGACCATGATAACTGGCAAAACCTGGAAACCGGGACGGCTGAGGTCTTTGAACATGAGGATGAGGGTCCCTACCTACCCAGAGGGCTTTCATGTGAAATACACCGTAAAAGGGTATCCTATTAAGGGCCCAACAGGTTTTAGGGTTTCAACACTCTAGGGATAACAAAGTCAAAACACGGAAGTGACCAGACCAACAAAATGGGAGTTTGTGAGTTTGGATATAAAAATACTGGCCTTAACAATTACCAAAATCTTTCTTACATAAACAGAAACAACCACAACCAATAGCCAGTAACCAAACAAAACTAATAATCAGTCAGCGTTCCACACAACAATAATGATCGTGAAGCAGCTCAACAGCAATTTAAACCATGTATTCTCATCAAACTCTACATTGTATCTCAGCTCTGTATTGCAGGGCTTTCGCGATTCCAAGGTGCAGAGGTTAACCTTTCCTCCCAAAACATACACTATGCCTAGTACAAGTCTGATGTCCCTAATGGACCACTAAAACAATAGCAGTATTATTACAGATACTATTATGGGTAAAAAAAAATCAAGCTGGAATTCATTAGTCCCTCTAACACACCCCAGGGTTATGTGGGTCCTCTCCGACACTCCTAGCACAACCCTCTTCCAGATGGGTTTGGCTGGGTCAAACATCACACTGCACATGTAATTAGGGGGGAAATTGTCCTTTTTTTTTATATACTGTTGCTAGTGTGTCTTCCTAAATGCTGGCAACTGAAAATGCCTTTTCCACCGCTATTTTTAAAACCCTTAAAGAGGCATTCCTATTAGATGGTGCTAAGCAGAGTTAATGTTAACTAGCTTGGGCTGTGGGAAAGTTTGAAAAACAACTCAATTAGGGGGAGGGGTTTCCAGGAGCATGCATAAAGGACACGTGGACAACACCAAGGGGGTTTTAGGATGGAGGGTGGGAGGTAGGGAGGGCTGGGGCTGGGGCTGGGGCTGGGGCTGGGGCTGGGGGCTGGGGGCTGGGGCTGGGGCTGGGGCTGGGGCTGGGGCTGGGGCTGGGGGGGGGAGTGGTGGAGGGAAAAGTGGAAACAACTGTACTTGAACAACAATAAAACATGTAAAAAAAAAGAAGAAAACAAGTTAATTTTAAGCATTCTGAGAAAGGCTCTCTCATTTTGTTTGTATCATTTTAGCAACTGGTTAAATTAAGCCCACGTGGAGAATGGGCAGCCGCTGATCGCAGAGTAAACAGTCGGGACTGCAGCTACCCGCCTGATCCGCGGGGCAGCTCCCGGCGAGCTGGCCTGCAGTCAGACACAGACATTAAACAGGGAGTGTCCTCGATTACACAGCATCGTCTTCAGACGCAATCACGTGCTCAGTGAGCCCCGCCACAGCCATCTGCAAGTGCCGTGCACACTTTTCAAACATTTTAACACCGCCCAGTAAGCTGTAATTTTTGAGTTGTACTCTGACGTCCGGATTAGGAGATTTGACAGAATTTCACCAACGCACATCATTACCGACTTCCTTGAGTGTGAAAGAGAACGCAACCAGGACAAAAAAGAGTAAAGTGCCCAACCCGAAACACCCCAACAGGAAAGAGGTCGTTACTGCCAGCCCCCAGCCCTAGGACTCTGTGCACAGGCTCAGCCCAGCACCCCGTGTCTCCTGCCTACTTCCGTTCCTAGAAAAGTGGTCCAATACACGGAGCGCCCTGGCCACATTTCAGTCGCTGGAACTGTCCCTGGGAAAACCACCAGGCTCCTCCGGACAGATGCGGCAGCCACAGGGGTGACGGCAGTCTCCTCTGTCCCCCCAGCCACCTGTAACAGGGGTGAACACCGTGCTGACTGCTTTCCGGGACGGCCACACGCGCCTGCGATGTTTGCTCACTCCGTCTCTGGCCTCCTGCCAGGGTGCAAAGTGACAGTCGTGGGCAAAGCCCGAGTTCCAAGCTGACGCTCGTCCCTCCCTGGGACGGGCTGGGAGGAGTGCGGTCCCCTCTTCCCCGACCACACGAGCAGCGCGTCCTTCCTGGAGCGAACGGCAGACCCACGGAAAGGGGGAGAGAGACGCGGTTTTCGTCTCCGGCCGGCCTGCAACCCCGCTCCGAGCGGCCGGACGCCTGCGGCTCCGGTTCCCCAGTCTGTCTGGCCCGGCCTCCCCACGCCCGGTCAAATGTCTCCGGGTCAGCCGGCGAAGAGCGCCCCCCTCCCCTCTCCGGCTCCGTCTCAGCCCCTGGCGACCTCCCACACACACCGTCATCTCAGACACCGGGCAACTCCCAAAAGAGGGACCCGGGGACCCGGAGGGCAGAGCCGCACTCCCAAACTTCTCCATCAAGCCTCCAACTCCGGCCGCCGTCCCCTTCTCCCAGGGAGCCCGCGGGGCTCCTGCAGCGGGACAAGCGGGGCCGGCTGCGGTCCTCTGCGAAGGGGGAGGCCGGCCGCCGGCCGCCGCCGCGCACCTGGGTCAGTCTACTCTGGGCAAAGCAGGGGCTCCCCCGCACCAACTCACTGGACCCGCCGGTCTGCGGGGCGTTTGGGGGTGTCTGCGGTTACGCGGCCCCAGTTACCGCGCCCACGGGGGAGGGGGGATGCTTTCTCCGGGGGGACTTGGACGGGACAGGTGCAGGTTACAATGAAGGAGACTCCCAGCGACGCGGGGACTCCCATCCCGTGGGGGGCGCTGAGAGTCAGTCCCAGGCCGCGCCCGGCACCGAGGAGGCGCCCGCAGACCACACAGCCGGGCGAGCCCGAGGCGGAGCAGCGCCCCCACCCCGGCCTCCCCCTGGACCCCACCACAGGCCAGGCGCCCCGCGGGCCGGCGTCACCGCCACCGCCGCCGCCTCCTCACCTGCCACGGCCGCCTGTCCGGCCCGCACCTGGGAGGGGAGGAGAGGGGCCGGATTCAGGCTGCGGACGCCTCAGGCGGGGGGGCTCCAGGCTCGGCCGCCGCAGCGTCTCCGGGGCTGAGGGGTACCGGGGGGCGGACGCGACATCCTCACCGCCTGCCCCAGGAAGTGGGCCCCCCCTCTCCATCCCCGGCCGGCCGGCCCGGCCGCTCCCGCCCCTCGCGTGGCCCCGCCCACGAGTGGCCCCGCCCCCAGCGGGACCCGCCCCCTCTCGGGAGCGCGCCTCCGCTCCCGCCGCGCTCGAGCCACCATAGAGAGAGGCGAGGCGGCGGCTGGCTCCTCCGCGGCCTGCGCGCGCGCGCCCCCTGGCGGAGCCCCGGCCGCCGGCGGAGGGGCGGACCGAGCCTGAAGCCGGAGCCGGGTGCCGGTTGCGGGTGTCAGAGGGTCCGCTCTCCTCCCAGCCTTCGTTACCGAACTCCGCGCGAGGAGGTGGAGGGTCCGGGTCCGAGTCTCAGCTAGGCCATGGGCCAGCTTGGTGACCTTGGGCGAGTCCCTTAGCGTCGCTGACCTCGCTTTGTAACAAAAAGTTTGAAAGTTGCCTCACCTTCCTATCTCCTCCTTCCTCTCCATGCTGTACGCAGGTGAGGGTTCCCAAATTACGATGGAGGAAGCTGAGGCCCATCAGGGCTCACTGGCCTAGTCAATGTCCTGTAGCTGGGAGGTATTATTAGCCAACTTCACTACCATGGCTGAAAGCCTTTTTAAAAGAAAGGGTTTATTCAGCCCTACAGGACCAGGTCCCAGGGAGTGAAATCTAAACCATCAGCAGCAGCGCTGGGTGGAAAAGGCAACATGTCCCCGCTGTCCTGGAGCTGACGGGGCTCTTCTCCATATGACACGTAGGGGGAAGAAAAATGCAAGTTGTTTGGGAAGAATTTACATTGGCTGCAGAGAAGGGGAATGGGATAAGGTGAAGCGGCGGGGCAGTTCTGTGAGGGCACTGTCTATAGGCGACAAATATTTACTGCTTTTCACTGGTTTCAGGCAATAGTCCTGAAAGTCGCGCACGTGCAAGATCCGATGGCTCATCTTAATGGGCTAGGAGCCACCTGGGTGGATGTTGATTCAAAGCCGAAACATACATTCAGGAATGTGAGCAGTCTGTCACCTGGCCCCCAGCCATTAGCAGCCTTTAACTGCTCTGTCCTACTCTCCAGCCCACTGTAATTTAATTTAAAACATTTCAGAACTTTTGTTCTCGTCAATTTCAAAACCCATGTTTGTCCCACTCCCTCCACAGCACCTCCCGCATCTAGCATTTCCCAGGACGGGCTAGTTTCACAGTAGGAAGGTGAGGATCCCCACAGGGGTGTCCAGCCTTTCGGCGTCTCTGGGCCACACTGAAAGAAGAGTTGTCTCGGCCCACACATCAAATCCACTGCGACACGTAATACAAAAAAAAAAACCCTCAAAATGTTTTAAGTAAATTTACCATTTTGTGTTGGGCTGCATGTGACCTGCGGGCCGCAGGTGGGACACCCCAGGCAGGGGAAGGCTGTGGCAGAACGAAAATAGCTGGGTGATGAGGAGGTGCTGATGAAACCATTCACCAGCTGTGTGCCTTCCTGCACTCGTTTCCTCACCCCTGAAATGCAGGCTGGAACTAGGACGTAAACAACCTAAGGAGCTAACACGCTAGGTTTAGTCAACTGTAAAGCACCAGGGTTGCATGGGGAATCCTTAGCCACCATGGGCTGAGCAAATGCCTAGTCATGAAAATAATATAAATCCTAATGCTTTTGACGGGCGTCTACTGACACTTAATTTTCTTATGCTTTAGGTTCCCACGGAGACCTCTCAGAGTTCTTCTGAGCAATTTGTTTTGTTTTGCATTTTAAAATAAGGAATATCGCAAGGAAAAGCAAAAGCAGTTTTATGTGCAGACTCTCACCTTACAAGTATGATGTCTCATGTTCCCAACAACCCAGCACACTGAGCAGTATTATACCCACGAAGATCTGCAGATTAGGTATGGACCCAAAGCCTCACAGAAGACGGAGCTGGAATCTGAAACTGGATCTTTCTACTACCAGGAAGTCAAGGAATGCCTGGCCTGCTAGAGGCCTCCTGCACCTGGAATAAATGCATCCATCTTTCTCCTACCTGGCTCTCTTGGTAACTTTCCTTGATGCAATCCCCTGTCCTCTCTGCTCCTCTTCAGGGTTTTATTTTCCACGCGAAGGCATTTATTGTCTCCTCTTTCCCCCTCTCTGGTTCCTTGTCTCTTGAGACGCCTGGACCTTGGGCATCCTGATTTCTGAAGATTTGTGATCTGCGACGAAGACACAGCGTTCTCCACCCAGACTCTCCACGTGATCGTCCCAGAAAGTTCATAGGTCCACAACAAGGATGAGGTGGGGCCAAAGAGAGATGTCTTTTTGTAAATCGAAGGTTACAAAATGAGCACTCCCTGAAGGGAGTGCAAGTAATCCACTGTGCAACCCAGTAACTGGAGTCTGGACTCACGACGGCCTGTGGAAATCATTTTTCCCGAGCCCTCTGGCCCGTGTGACAGCCAGAACATCGGAATGCTGCTCAGTAATACGCACATCACCTAGGCAGGCGATCTCGGGGCCGCGTTCACCCACACTCCTCCTTTCCCCGCCTTTCACATGCTCGCCGTCACTATTTTTCATCTTTATCGTGCCCTCGCACAGAGGCAGTCAATAACGCGCCCATTGTGCTGGTGATCTGAAATCCCTTTCTGCGAGCAATAGTATTTAGTAGTAATAAAACACTAATTTGTCTACCGAGTGACATATTTATAGGAGCTGTTTTCTGGGACATATTTTTATTATTTCTCCTCATTTGCTAAGTACTTTCCAATACATATTTATGAAGCCGTGCCTTCCCCCAAGCAGTAGTGAAAAAAATAAATCATATTGTTTCTTTTATTAGCAGCAGCATGGCTTAGAAGTCCTGGTGCCCTGATATTTGTTTGTTCTGGCAAGAGCCAGAATGACCAGTGACCAAGCACCTACTATGTGCCTGTGAAAGGCACTTTACATCAATCATCTGTTGAATTTCCCTGAGACATATGTTTTACCAATAAGGAAAATGTAATTCCCCTGCAACATAGATTTTAACCACTAAGAGAAACATTACCTTAATTGGCTCGGCCATCAAGGGCCCAGAAGGGTTTTGAACTTGGATCTTCATGCCAAGATCCTGAATCACCTGGACCACCGTTGAGGGATAAGAAAGGGAGGAGGTGAGGGTGGGTGCACCAGCTGCAGTGGGCAGTGGGGGCGGACAGAGGCAGCACCTAAGGGAGTCGAGGGCACTGGGGTAGAAGAGCCGACCTGGGGAACTGTCCAGAGTGGCGTGACCGGAGTAGCGCGCGGTGGCAGCACGCTGGGCACTAACGCCCTGGTCTGAGAACAAGGCCCCAGGAGGAAGCGAGTGTGAGGGGCCACGTCCTGCAGGCATGTCCCTGGGTGGTCTGGCAGAGCAGTGATGGTGGGGGGCGCCTTCCCATGGCCAGAGAGGCCTCACTTGGACGAGGGCTGTGGCGCATTCAGCTGGAGGAAGTGCCCCAGTGGGAACAGAGCCGTGCGGATTGGAAGTCAAAGGCAACGTGGGACAGAGAGTCCCGGCCTAGGAATCAGGAGTTCTGGGTCCCAGCCTGGTTCTGCCACTGGGACCGCGATTCCTCCTCTTGCAGCCTCAGCTCCTTTTCTTTTCTCATTGTTTTGTAGAGACAGAGAAGGGGAAGAGAGATCAAGAAATGTCAATGTGTCGTTTCACTCATTCATGCACTCACTGGTTGTTTCTTGTATGTGCCCTGCCCAGAGATGGCGCACACAACCTTAGTGTATTGGGACGATGCTCTCACCAACTGAGCTTCCCAGCCAGACCAGGGCTTCAGTCCCCTTCTCTGTTACATGGCAAGATGGGCCAGAGGATCTCTACAGGCCTCTCAAATCACACTGTGCTAGGTCCTCAGTCAGGGACGCAGCACCTGGAACCACGGCAAAGCCCTCCCCAGGCCAGAGACGGCCACTGGCTCCACGGTGGATGCCAAGCCCGACTGACTGGAGTGCCACGTGGAGAAAAACTGCAGAAGACTTCGAGCTCCACAAAAAAGAATGCTTGATTGGTTGGCGGGGTCTTCATGGGCTCAGGCTGCCAAATGGTAAGAGGCACAGGGATATGCCCTTCCCAGCTTAACGTACAACAGTTCGCTGCCATGGTTGTGGAGATGTGCCAACGTGCCGCCGCTCCCAGCGTGAGGATACTGAAGGTTAATTTCCTCTGGGGTGTTCCCTGGGGGCAGCAGCACCCCCAGGCTCCCCGATCACGCCCCCACTCAGGCAGACGCCCTCTCGCCAGTGCGCCGTGCACTTCCAAAGCTCCACGCTTCTTACCTCTAGCCCTGCTGCGTGTATCACCTTTAAATGTCATATCATCCATCTATGCCTCTGCCTCCCCCTTTTCCTGCGGCCAACACACAACTAATTAATTATACAACAGGCTCTCCAACCGAGACAGGCAACCTTCCTTTAAAAAAAAACACAAATGTGTTCAGTAAGCCTGATCATTTCTCTGCGTGGCCTTTTCTTTTCCCTTCCCTGGTGTCCTCCTCTCCTCCCAGCCAGGCTTACAGCTCGCAGACGGATGGCCACAGTCCTGGTAACAGACAAGGGGGTTGTTGCATCCACTGGGCACAAGGCTGTGGTACAGCTGGCAGGAAGAAAAGGGTAATTACATTGCCTCTCGGAGCCACCGGCAACGCATTTCTGCATGAAGACTAGATTTGCCATGTGTTATTTATGCCAGCATCAATTTTCCCAGCTGGCTCTATTTACTGAGCAAATTCTCCTGTCTGTTTATGGGCACAGCCACGGTTCAGCACCTCTGGTTACTCTGTCCCGGAGAGAGGCCCCACAGGGCACCATGCATATTAAACGAGTGGCTGGATTCTCCAGGAGCAGGTCACACCTTGCCTCCTCTAGATTGCCTCCCTGGGCCTGCAGGGAGCTCCCTGACTCACCCAGCCCTGGTGATGCATGCAGGTGTGTGAAACCCAATCAGCAAGGGAAAGAGAAATAACTGTTCTCTGGGGCCCCACTGGGGGAAACTGGAAAAAAAAACAAAAACCTTCTGGGGTAAATTAGGTGGATCTGGGGCTCAGGGAATTTCCTTCTGACGTTTTTAAGAGCAGGACATAGGTGGGAGAAGAGTTTTACATTTACAAGGTTACTTCAACTCAGGAACTCAAAGGCAGAGCTAAGGAGAAGAGAGCCTCATTTTACGGAGGCAAAAAAAAAAAAAAAAAGAGAGAGAGAGAAGCAAAGGCACGCTTTGTGGTTCAGCCCCATGTCAGGACGGAGGGCGGGTGGGATGGTGACGCGCAGGGTTATCCGTCCTGTCACCAGTGCGCTCCTTCAGGGAGTCCCCAGGCCGGGTGCACTGGGCTCCCACCGGAAACATACGTGGTAGAAACGGGGAAGAGAACTTGGCTCCAGCAGGGATTCCTGGGTCTTCCCGCCACGGCGTCCTCTCGCCAGTAGCTCCGTATGTTCCCACGGACAGAGAAGCTGAGGGAACTGAGATGTGTCTCCTCTGCCCAGCCCGAGAGCCTCCCCGCAGTCCCCACGCAGCAGCAGCAGCAGCAGCGGACAGAAGCATTCCTGCATGGGACCGCTGGGGGCCTCGAGGCCTCTCTCCCTGCCAACCGGCAGCACAGTCCTAGCTGCTCTCCCTGTCACTCTGGACTCCGCTCCAGGGTCCCCCAGGTCCCAAAGTCCACCGTCTCCTGGAAACCTGTTGGCTGGGAAAAGGCAGGAGGGAAGGGTAAGTTTTTGAGTTAAGCAACCCAAGTGGGTAGTGTCTTCGGTTGCAAGGTCTCAGCACCCGAGACTTTCTCTGTAAGATATCTATGGGCATAGAAACTACCCTCAAGGACCCTGGCCATTTTTTTAGTTTTATTATTATAATTTTAATTTATTGATTTTTAGCAACTGCAGAGGAAGAGAGTGGGAGAGCGAGAGAAAGAGAGAGAAACACTGATTTGCTGTTCCACCTATCTAGTCACTGGTGGCTTCTTGCACATGCCCTGACCGGGGCTAGAACCCATAACCTTGGAACATCGGGACGGCGCTCTAATCAACTGAACTACCCTGCCAGGGCTTAGTTTTATCATTATTAGTTTTATTGTTACTTATCGGTATTACTATTATGAGTTCTATGCGCCCCCCGGGGGCCGGCTCACCAGACGGGGAGATTTGGTCAGACACACGGTGCGCTGGCTGCCTGGTGCCCCTGCTCCTTCGCCGCTGGCCAGGACCACCCGGGTGCTGGGCACGAAGCTCCAGGAGCGGCCCAGCGCAGGTCTGAGCTTCCCGCTGTCCCTGTCGCGGGTCATGTGGTTGGTCACCTGAGGCAGAAAGAGTCAAGGGCTCACAGATGCAACATGCGCACAGAGAAGACACGTGCTTCTTCTGCTTCATTTTATGGATGGGATAGCGAGGCCCGAGAGGAGAAACACCCCAACCCCCGCCCCCCGAGTCTCCGTCACTCATCCCCAGCCTGCCTCGACCTTGAACCCTGGGCTCCAGGACCTGGGAAAGGACCTGTGCACAGCTCTTTCCGCCAAACCACGCTGCCTCAGGCTTGACGCCAGCAAAGCTGACAGGCGCATGTCTGGGAGTGAGCAGATGTGCTACCGGCGCTTCCTAAGGGGAGGCCACACCCCCGGCCCCGCAGATGGGCATCCTGAGACCATGTCCGTCCATGTGTTAAGGGGGCATGGGTGTACATGGGGGTGGAGGGCGTTCTGGAAAGGGGGGCTCCTGATCTGGTTGGTCAGCTCTACTCTGCCCAGGCTGGTCATGGGTAAGAAAACCCTGCAACATGGGTTTAAACAAGATAATATGTAACTGCTAAAAATGGTATTCTGGAAGAATCTTTAAAGACATGAGAAACAGAATGAGACGGTAAGTTATTGTTTTTTTTTAACACAGTTCCGGTCTTTTTGGAAAGCTGGTTGAAAGCACGTGTACCTATGCAGAGAAAGAAGATTCTACGGACCTACGTAAAAATACGGTTTCTGCAGAGGTGGCGACTGAGTGCAAACTTGACTCATATTTATTTTTACCCTCCCTACGAGAGGCATGCAGACTTGTAAGAAATTGCTCCATAAGCAGAAAATCTAATTTTAAAAGCAAAAAGATCCCTTTCTAGGAAGCTTCTGAAAAAAAAAGGCAAAGCTGGGGGTGCAGAAGCCAGACGAGTGGCTGCCTGGGGCGGGGGTTCGGGGCTGAGAGACAGGAACACCCCGTGAGGGGACTGCCGTGGGTGACGAGACAGGACACAACGGCGGCCGAACTTCCAACAAGAAGCACGCACTCCGTGTGAGTTCGCCTGCGTTACAGAAAGTGAGAAGAGAAACAAGACCGCCCCTGATCGCCTGGCTGTTTGTGGACCGACCCCCTCCTGGTCCAGAGCTCTGCATGGCCCGGGGAAGCTGGGCTGTGACCCTTTCCTAAAGGGCCACTTGTGGGGGAAGGTTCGGAAGCTGCCGTTTAAGGGAAATAAAGGAACTTCTATTTAAGGAAAAAAAAAATTCTAGCTATAGCTAGAAATGGTGTTCCTCTTCCCCCTGGGGAAAGCCCAGGGACGAGGGCTGAGCCCAGCACGGCCGGCCAAGCACACTTCCTCACCAGCACCGCCACGCCGAGGTCCCGGGCCAGGGTCTTCAGCTCTTGGGCCAGCTGCATCATCAAGGCCAAGCCTGGAGGGGGAGAAGCAGAGGAGGAGGGCAGGGGGCAGCGGGGCCCGGCCGGCGGGAGGCGGGACCACATCCCTGACCCCCTGGGCTCTGCCACACACAGCACGCACCTTCCCTCTGCTGACCTCCCAGAAGTGGGGACACCACAGCCGTGACGGAGTCCACAATGACCACCTTCACAGTCCCTGCAGAGTCGCGCACCTAAGGGGTTGGGGGGAAGCAGGGGCGGCGATGAGCCACTCGGCCTCTAGAGGGCTCCCTAGAGGCGTCCCCTTAGAGGGCGAGCTTGCTCCTCCCACAAACTGGTAAGAACCTTCCCTGACCTCACACTGACGCCCAGGAGTCCCCAAATTCCAGCAAATGTCTTTTCTCCAACCCCATTTGCACGTCTAACAGATTTTACTGAATACCTGGGTGGACAGAGAAGGTTTAAATTACGGGACATCCCAGAGAGCCTGAGCTAATGAAATGTGAGAATTCCTGTGCAGAGGGCTGTGGCCCCTGGTCAGGGATTTCTGCAGCGGCCGTCTTTCTCCTCGTGGCCGGCCCCCACCATCTCATCAGGCCGCTCTTTCCCCTCCCCTGCTTACCCCCCGAATTCCCAACCTCCTGGGACTTGAGTTTTCTCTCTACTTCACTGTCTCCTTCTAGCTCTGCCTCTAGGGCTCATCCTCCTTATCGAAAATGGTTCCAAATATAGACTTATCTAGACAGCCATCTGTTGAAACCACAATTCTCCGTCTCTACACAGACATTAGCACCCTCCCGGCTCGGCTGCCTGGACTTAAACTGTCTTTGATGCTTCCCTTCACTCTTGCCTCTTCTTTTGATTTTTTTCAAGATTTTATTTATTTATTTATTTTTAGAGGTGGGGGGAGGGAGGAAGAAAGAGAGGGAGAGCGACATCCGTGTGGGAGAGACACATGGATCAGTTGCCTCCCGCACGCCCCCAAGGGGGGACCTGGCCTGCAACCCAGGCATGTGCCCTCCTGCCTGGGAATCAAACTGCTGACCTTTCGGTTCCCAGGCCAGTGCTCAGCCCACCGAGCCACATCGGCCAGGGCCCCCTTATTTCTTATGCCCAAGTCATTTGCTGGTTCTGTTAACTCAACTTTTTTTTTTGCTTCATGTCAGCCGAATTTGGGACAGTCAGCACTCTCCGCTCTTTCTCTGGAATGTCTCCCTTCACCGCCCACTGACCGACTCTGGGCCCGTCAGCAGCTTGTCTAAGAGAGGACGGCCAGTAAGACAGGAGGTAAAACTGAAACTGGCTTAGCCCGCCTCACTTTTGGGGAGAGGCAGGGTGAAATCTCCGGCTAACATGGGACAGCAAGCCTTTCCCCGCTTGTAGCTGTGGGGCTGCCAGGTCATCTGTGGCGGGGACACCCTAAGGTGGCCCCCTGTGCCCTACCTTTAGGCCCTCAAGCCCTTGGATAAGCAACCCCTGCCCCCTCCCTTGACCCTGGATGAGTCCCATGGCCTTCTCTGACTAATAAAATGTCAAAGGTCTTGGAGAGTCACTGTCTTAATCAGGCGGTGTTATATGGCGAAGGGAACGAGACATCACTCCCGTGACCATGTTATGTTATATAAGATTGCATGTTGCCCTGGCTGGTGTAGCTCAGTGGATTGAGCACAGGTCTGCGAACCAAAAGGTCACCGGTTCAATTCCCAGTCAGGGTACATGCCTGGGTTGCAGGCCATGACCCCCAGCAACCGCACATTGATGTTTCTCTCTCTCTCTCTTCCTCCCTCCCCTTTCTAAAAATAAATAAATAAAATCTTAAAAAAAAGATGATAAATCATAATACATAAAAAATTTATGTGCAGTGAATGGAGGGGGTGCTGTGACGGGGTGAACATGTCAAAGTGGTTTGCAAAGTTTCTTGGTGCTACTGACATTTCGGCCAAACAATTCCTTGCTGTGGGGCTGCCTCATGCACCGGAAGATGGTTGGCAGCAGCACCCCGTCCTCTCCCCACTAGGAGCCAACAGCGGGAGATGGACGACATACTCAAAGCATCCAAATCAATAAAGTTATTGGTGAAAATGAAAAATGTGTCTTTTACCTTACGGAAAACACTAAACAGATTTTTTGGCCAACGCAACCTCTATTCTCCCCGCCCTGAATGTGGACGTGGACATATGAAAGCACAAGGCCAGAGTGACAGCGAGAGCGGCCACTCTGCGGTCACGAGAGCAAAGAGCACGAGAATCAGACACACTAACCCAGAGCCCTAACATGTGGCCCTGCCGACCCCCAGACGCATCGGAGGCCATCAGATGCCCTCCTAGTGTGTGCGTGTCTGTCAGCCACACTCTGTTATCTGCAGCTGAAAACTGGTCCCGTGGGGGCTGCAGAGACGAATGCGACACGGCCCTTGTACTCACGGGGTCACTGTCTAGTGGGCGAGAGGAGCACACAAACGAGGAGGCACTCGGAACCCCATCCTGGGAGCCGCGAGCACAGCTGGGGTCGCCAGATTGCACCTCTGCACCTCCACAGACTCTCTAAGAGAACACCTGCCCACGAACAGCACAGCGAGCACCAGCGCAGGGCAGGGCCGGACAGCAGGCTCACCTGCTGGGCTACAGCCCCTCGGAGGTCCTGCAGCACGTCCAACACCTGGAAGATGTCAAAGGCACGCGCCACCTGGATTCTCTGGAGAGCTCCTGCCTGAGAGAAGAGGGGGCGATGGATAAGAGGGAGCAGGACCGAGCAAGGTGAAGGGGGACTTTGAGGCTGAGGAGCAGGACTCAGGTCCGGGAAGGCAAGCGGGCTTTGTCTCATGGGCCGGCTGTCACTGTGGCGGCCGCCTGGGTGCTGAGCTGCGAAGCCAAGGCAGGGCACAGCGGGAAAGAGCGAGTGGACTAACCCAGTGGTGTCTGCCGTGGGCAAGAAACGGGGCAGAACCAGCGATGCCGGGTGTTTGCCAGGCCCGGACTGAGGGATGCAAGGAGCTGGGTTTCCCGGGAGGACGGCGTGGGCAGAATCCAAGCCGGGATGGTGCCGTAACAGGGAGGCTTGAAGGACACAGGAAGTATTGGCGGAGCAGCAAGCTGCAAACCCAGAAAGGGCTGTTCATCTAAACGGCCAATATTCTTACGACGTAAGGGTAATGGGGGTCTTCGTGTCCGAGCTTCGGAGGAACCCAGCCCCCCTGCCCCTTACCTGCTCTCCTTCATCTGCGGTTCTCGCCTGAAGTAGCTGCAGGATGCGGGAGGCGGTCAGCCCTCCGTTGGAATCGACGTACAGGACGTTCTGCTGCAGGCCATGGGCCACGTTTGCAGCCACACAAAGACATACCTGAGTCAGAGACAAGGCACTGGGTGAACCTGACCCCTCAAAGACTGCCCAGAGTGGGAGCTCCCCACCAACTCTAGTTCAGATCCCAGGGACGGAGAACGGGCCAAGTTCAAAACCCACTTCTCACCACTCATCTTCTCTCTTCCAAGCTCTGAATCACATGCTACGGGCCGAAGCTTCCCCAGGGGCCCAGGACCACACACCGACCTCCCCCGATCCTCCTGGCTGCTGGCTGCCAGTGTTACCTGGGTTTTGCCGCTACCCGGGACTCCTGCGATTTCGGTCACCTCTCCAGTGTAGAGACCAGCATCGAGCAGTTTGTCTAGGCTGATGGCAGAAGAGGAAGCAGGAGAATCAACCCAGGGGACTGGAGAGTAGGGAGGGAAGCAGTAGCCAGGAAGAAAAACACGACATCCCTTGCAAGCACTGGCCCTGTCCCGAGACAGTGGCTTAAACAACCATCTCCCCACAGAGGTCTCTGCCGCCCCATGGGGTCTGCCTTGCAGTCTCCATCTCAGCCCCCGTGGGTTTCCTCGATGATATTTATCACTTTTTAAACTTTGAAATAGTTATAGATTCACAGGAAGTTGCACAAAAAAAAACTGCACAGGGAGGTCCCATGGACCCTTCACCTAGTTTTCCCCAACGGGGCACCACCCTGCATGATGCGATGAACTGCACTTCCGTACAATACCAGAAACTGACACTGGTGGGGTCCACAGAGCTTACTCCAGTTTCACCGATGTTACTTTCACGTGTGTCTGTGTGTACGGTTCTACGCCATTTGATCACGCGTCTCCACGTATGATTATGCAAATACCACAGTGAAGACACGGAACATTTCCAGCCCTACAAGGCTCCCCTGTGCTACCCTTTTATAACCACGTGTTCCCCCCCCCCCGACGCCTAGCCTCCCACCCCTGGCAACCACTACCCTGTTCTCCACCTCTATTGTTATTTCAAGAACGTCACCTACGTAGAATCATCATAAGGCATGTAACCTCCGTGACTGGCTTCTTCACTCAGCACTGTTCCTGCGGGAGACCCACCCAGGCTGTCGTGTGCGCTGAGATTTTGCTCCGTGCTGTCACTGAGCGACACTCCATGGTACGTCCATACCCCGTCCTCCCGCTGGGGGGCACTGCAGCTGTTTCCAGTTTGGGACCATTACAAATAGAGCTGCTATGAGCATTTGTGTACAGATTTTGCGTGAACCTACGTTTTTATTGCTCTGGAATAAATGCCCAAGAATACGTGGCTGGGATGTAAAGTAAGTGCATATTAATTTTATGTGAAACCACTGTTTCCCAGAGTGGCTTTGCCATGTGACTTTTCCTCTAGCAACATACGAGTGATCCAGTTTCTCTGCATCCTTACCGGCAGCATTTGTTGTTATCATCATTGTTTATTTTAGCCATTCTGATAGGAGTGCAGTAATGTCGCACTGGGGTTTTAATTTGCATTTCCCTAATGAACAATGATGCTGAACACCCTTTTATGTGATTCTTTGCCACCTGTGTGCCCCCTCCGGTGAAATGTCTGTTCATGCCTTTTGCCCACGTGCTAATTAGATTGCACTACTGCTGAGGCTGAAGAATTTTTTAGGTATTCTAGACGCAAGTCCTTTGTTGACTACGTGGCTTTAAGATATTTTTCCTACTTCAGCCCTGGTTGGCATAGCTCAGTGGATTGAGCGCGGGCTGCAAACCAAAGCATCAGAGGTTCGATTCCCAGTCAGGGCACATGCCTGGGTTGCAGGCCACGGCCCCCAGCAACCGCACATTGGTGTTTCTCTCTCTCTCTCTCTCTTTCTCCCTCCCTTCCCTCTCTAAAAATAAATAAGATCTTAAAAAAAAGATATTTTCCCTACTTCATAGCTTGTTTTTTCATCCTCTTTTACAGAGTAAAAGTTTTTAGTTTCAACTAGTGTTTCATTTTGACTTTCTTATGTAAAAAATTACGGATTTTGCTGCTCCTACTTTCATTTCAAATCTAAAAACTCTTGACCTCGTCCCAGTTCCCAAAGATTTTCTCCTGTTTTGTTCTAAAAGATTGATAGTTTAAAGTGTTACATTGAAGTCCATGATCCATGTCCAATTTCAGGTTCATCGGTTTATCACCTGTGATGTTCAACGGCTCTGGCACCCTCTGTTCAGAAGGCTGTATCGTTCCTCCACCGAAGTGCTTTTGCGTCTTTGTCCGAAACCAGCTGGACGTGTCTGGGGTCTATTTCTGGGTCCTCTATTCCACTCCATCGATCTGTAGAGCCGTCTCTTCGCAACGCCACATTCGTCTTGATTACTGCGGCTGTACAGTAAGCTTTACTGTTTGGGAGAGTGATTCCTGCACCTTTATTCTTCTTTTTCAAAATTGTTTTAGCTGTTCTAGGCCATTGGCTCTTCCATGAAATTATTCGAATAAGCCTATTTCTACAAATAATCTTGCTGGGGTTTTCAGCAGGAACCACATTCAAGTTATCGATCGTTTTCGGGAGAACTGGTCTCTCTGCCGTGCTCAGTGTCCCGATCCACGACTGTCCCTCCGCTTACCCGGGTCCTCTTTGATTTCCTTCATCAGCGATTGTTCATGTTGGGCATGTAGACCCGATCCCTGTTTGGTTAGATGGAGACCTGTGTGTTTCATTTTCTTGGAAGCAATTTTAAATGGTATTGTGTTTCTCACTTTCATTTCCACGTGTTCATTCTGAGTATATAGAAACGCAATTAATTTTCACACGTTACTCTTACCTCCGGCAACCTTGCTGAGTTCACTTGGTACTGGTGGTTCTAGGATTTGGAATTCTTTCCTGTGTGCTTGTTTTTGTCTGCCTTCCCCATGCAGCCCAGAGCCCCCCCGGGCAAGAGCTGGGCCTTGCTCACTATCACACCCCAGCGTTGGCTCGGCGCCTTAAACCCAGGAGCCGTGCAGTGACTGTGCCCAGAGCAGTGAGCGATGGGACGGTGCTACTTAGTTCCGATTATTGGCAGCACTCCGGCCGTGGAAGCCTTGGGATGAGACTCAAGACACAGCCAATCCCCAGTCCAAGTTCTGTCCTTGAACCCCCACGACGCAGACAACCAACCAGCCTCCACGCGCTGCCCACCCCACAGGCTGAAGACCCTCCTCCCCCACAGAGCCTGGACCAGTGCTGCCACGTCCTGGCCACCAGCATCCTCCTCCTACACCCGCACTCACCTTTGCAGGTGCCAGCCCCCGGAACAGTTCTGAGTACTTCCCATGACCGCTCTGCATAGGCCAAGCAGCACCTTAGTAAGCACCCAATCGATTCCAGTCCCGGGGACTCTGTGATTATAACCACAGGCCCCCGCCAGTCGCAGGTAACCACCAGGACTGGTCCCCACGGCAGCCCTGTATCTCCTTGGGACAACTGTGCTCACCCTGTCTGTCTAATAGGCACCTGTTTGAAAGGCACCCGGCCTCTACCGCTCCAGGACCCCCTTCCCCCCACTGCGATCAGCGAACCCCAGTCTCGTTACAGCAGTGCTTCCCCCAGCGTGGCCCCCAGACCAGCACGCCCCTCTCCCACGCCCCCAACCGGGGACCTGGTTAGAAATGCACACTCTCAGGCCCCTCCTGGGGGCGGAGACAGCATCTGAGTCCCAGCAAAGCTTCTGGGTCATTTGGATGCACGCTCAGCTTCAAAACCATTAGGCCAGAGAGTCTCAATCCTGCCTGCCTAATGGCAATCGCCAGAGGAGGTTTTAAAAGAGGCAGGGATCAGCTGCGCCTGCGCCGTGGCGTCACCAGCGTCACCATCACCGGGGAGCTTCAGAAAAAATACTGCCGCCTGGGTCCCGCCCCTAGAAAGGGTGATTACATTGTTGGTGGCGGCTTGGGCTTTGTCAAGTAAGCACTTAATAAGTGTTCCTCACAAAATGAAACAAATAAATAAATACATATTCTTGAAAGAATGAATTATGGGAGAAAAGCTGGAAATGTCCACATTGGTGACTGGTTGGATAATTATGGGTAAATTGTGATTTACACATATTACGTAATATTCTACGACCATTAAAATGACCGGAAGACTTTTTAAAGACCTTGGGGAAATGTTAAGACATGGAAGACAAGGGGTAGCAGTGTGCGTGAGCTACCCCACGTGAATCTTACAAAGCAAATGTCTGCATGAACACAAAGAAGCTGAAATCACCGAGACGGTTTTTATTTTTTCTTTCTGTTTCTGCGTGTTGCACGTGATCTATTATGAGTATGTATTACTTTTATAATCAGAAAAACACTAACTGTTATTGAAACAATTTTTATAATGCTCTGCTAACAGTGGGGGAATTTGTAATAAAAATTCATCCATTCAAAAAAAAAGTTCCCAGGCGATGGTAACGTGAGGGCAAGTTGGGGAACCCTTGGCTTAGGGCAGCTACGTCAGGTGGGACCCAGGCGTAAACGTGTCTTAAGCTGCCCAGGTGTTTCGAATGTGCAGGCTCTAAACCGCTGGTCATGACTCTCCAGCCGAGAATCCAGCTCATTCCCAGCAGTGAGGACCACTCTGCCTAAGACATTCCCAAATCCACCTCCCAGCCCCTTGTCACCAGTGCTTTTGTCCACATCTCCCACCGCCTAGAGGGCTTTCCTGCCAATCACCTCTGAGTGGGCAGGTGCGCATGGAGACAGACCCCAGCCTGCCTCGGGGAGCAGAACTCCTGGGATTCACCACTTGGTCCGAATACGAATGACTTCTGGGGCTTACCCTCCACCTTTCCCTCTGATTTGGCTGTTAGGCATTCTATCAGCCGTTCATTCAAACATTGCCTGAGTCCCCCCCAATTTCCTGAAGGCCCTATTCTAAGACGAGGGAGATACAGAGACAGACAAGCCATTGCTCTGGCCTTCAAAGAGCCGCCCACCTCCCCCAACCCACAGAGCTTCTTCCGAGCTCTGAGCTCCGCAGGTGTTTCACGTCCCTGGCAAAGATCCCCAGGGCACGTCGGCACCAAAGGCTCTGAGGAGGCCCACGGCAGAGAAACCTCTTTCATTGGGGCTAATGCAGCATTTCCCAAATTTCTGGCTAAAGAACTTCCCTCCCTCTTCCCTTTTAAAAGTCACATCCGGCCCTGGCTGGTGTGGCTCAGCGGATTGAGCACCAGCCTGTGAACGGAAAGGTTGCTGGTTCGATTCCCAGTCAGGGCACATGCCTGGGTTCGGGGGGGCAAGTCCCCGGTTGGGGGAGTGTGTGAGAGGCAGCTGTGTATCTCTCACGCATTGATGTTTCTCTCCTTCTCTTTCTCCCTCCCTTCCTCTCTCTCTCAAAAAGTAAATAAATAAGATCTTTAAACAATAAAAGTCATATCCAGCCATGGCTGGGGTAGCTCTGTTAGTTTGAGTGTTATCCTAAAACGCCAAGGTTGCAGGTTCGATCCCCCATCAGGGCACACACAAGAATCAACCAATGAATGCATCAATAAGTGGACAACATCTCTCTCTCTCTACCCCCTTCCTCTGTCTCTCTAAAAATTAATTTTAAAAAATTTTTCAAGTCACATCCATGAACGGCCCACAGACTGGCACGAGGAAGGCAGAAACCCGGGCGGTCACCTCTGAGTCCTCGCACCCATACCCCACCTGGCAGGAAGGCCTGTTGCAATTCCTCGTCACCTCCCCAACACTCCTCGACACCTCCCATTGTCGCCTGCCTTAGATCTGACCCCTGCTCCCCAGCTCCGCCAGCCTCCCCGGGCCCGCCCACCTTGCACACCCCCGCCACACCGCCTGCAGCTCTGCTTCCACTATACAGCCACCTGCCCCGAGGAAGGAAACAGGGCAGACAAGTTACAGTCAGGTTTTTAGACCTAGGTGTGTGACAGCGGTGACGACCAGTGTCTGCTCTGCCACTTACTGGCTGCATGACCTGGAGCAAGCCACTGGACCTGAGTCCCCGCGGCCTCGCCTGCAGACGGGTGGTTTTCACTGCAATGCGCTCAGGGGTGGTCCTGAAGATCACGTGAAAAAACACCCCGTGAAGTGTACACGCAGTGCCCAGTTCTTGGTGAGCACCCAGAGAAATCCAGCCCCCCCTTCCTCGACACCCAAGGCCTGCCTCCTCCACAGAACCTTCCTGAACCACCCTGCTCTCCCCAGCAGTGGCCCACTGCAGCTGCAGCCCTGCCAGGGTACCAGCTGAACGCTTCCTGAGTGTGTTGGTTTTCTAAGCTCCACGAGCCCAAAGGCCACATCTGCTTCCTGTTAATCATCACTCCCTCCTGCACCTGTCAGTGGGCTCGCGCTCTTGTCTCCGCCCCACACTCCTTTAAGTGCAGGAGCCTGCAGGTAGCCGGCAGCCAGGAGGCCCTCCGTCGGTGCTTGACAGGTAACAGACTCAGATCCCCGACCAGGAGGCGCAGGCACCACGCTGGGTGGACCTTGTCCAGAGACCACGTTGTGAAAGCAGCAAGGGCCAAACCAACCCAAAGACCTTTGCGGTTGCGGAGTTCTTCGCCCAATTCTGCACCAGCAGGCGGGGAAGGGGTCAGACCCCCTCGGTCACAAAGTGACTGGTGTCTTCTACCTCTCCCCTCTCCAAACGGCACAGCGGCATGTGACTGCTCCTTCATAGTTTCGTCCCCCTTCTGCCGCAGAGTGTGGGGCAAGAATCTAGCACCCCAGGGTTGCACCCCCAAATCCACCCTTTGCTCCTCCTGGGCTCAACTCAAGGGGTTAATAATCGCTATCACACACTCTGAGGAGATTGTGTAACCTGTCTTCAGTGCCTGGGAGACACGAGGCACTCGATAAATGCTAGTCCTGCATGTTCTTTCTCGTCCTCTCCTTAAGTGAAATAGGACAGGGAGCCCGAGAAGAGGTGCTCTGAATCTGCTGAGTAACAACAAAATCCCGACATCTCCTGTTACAGAGCAGTGGTTATTAACCAGGGGCAATTCTGCCCCTCAGGGGTCATCTGGCAACGTCTGGAGACATGCCTGAGTGTTGCAACTTGGGGAGGGAGGCGCTACTGGCTCTAGAGGAGAGAGGTGAGGGAACGCAGCCGAATACCCTGCAGCGCCTGCAGGACACCCCCCACCCCCTCTACTGCCCCACCAGCGAATGATGATGCGCCCCAGAATGTTGGGAGTGTGAGGTCGCCAAACCCTGCAGGAAGGTAACAGAGCTCCAAAGCCCTGTCCATCAGTCCACGCTGGCCTCTCCCCTGCTTGAGAAGCCCTGCTCTGTCTAGACTCAAGCACCAAAAGCCAAGTCGGAAGCATCCGCGTCCTCCTGCCTCTCGCCTTCTTCCCAAAATACACATACAAACCTTCCGATGCCGGTAGACAGGATGGCAGTGGAGGTCTTCAGTTCCTCGTAGAGATCGGCGCCATTGAAGGGGAAAGCTGAGAACTGAGCCAGCAGCACCCGCCTCAGGGCAACCAGGGCCTGCCGAAGGGGTGGGGGCAGCTCAGGACGCAGCCAGGGGCACTTCCACCCGAAGCGGAGCAGAGAGCTCAGGAATGAGCAAGGACCAGGCAAGGGAGGGGGCAACCGGAGTCCCATATGCCCCTCCCCACTCATGGATCTCTGGGAACCCTCTGTTTGGGGACAGATATTTACAGACGCCCAGGTGTGGAACCAGGTCATCAGCTCACCTTATAAGACAAGCCACATTTCTGGGCTACCTCCTCCAGGTCTGCGGAAACCAGGTCCACCACTGAAAACAAAACGAGTGGTTGATTGGCAGGGAGGGCGGGGCTTCCCATGCTTGGCTTTTCCCGTCTGTAAAATGGGGTGACAGTTCTGCCTTGGGGCAAGCCCTCTCGGGAAGCCTGCCAGAACTAACAGAGCCGCAGGGCCAGGCGTGGTGCCCGGCACACAGTAGGGGCTCTGCCCTGCTTGGGGCTGGGCTCGACCACGCCCACCACCCCAGCCTCTCCACAAGGGTGGGGAGCAGACGCCCCCTCCCCCGGGTGTGCCAGGGCCGTGGGGCCGGCCTCCTTGGCGTGCCCAGCTGTGTGGCACGCGCACGCGGTCACCTGTTTTGATTCCGTGGCTCCTCAGAAGCTGGACCATGTCCTGGGTGAGGCCTGGGCAAAGGCCGGCCCTGAGCACGCCCATGTTCCCTGGGGCCCCGGGCCGCTCGTCCAGCGGACACCCGCAACGCCCTCTGCAGACGCCCCTCGGCGCCCCTTTCTGGATCGGGGGCCGGCGCGCGGAGGGTACGGCCCCACGCGGGGTCCCCGGCGCCCAGGGCCCGCCGGTCGCGCCCGGCCGCCGCTTCCGGCTTCCAGGCCGCAAAGCCGGGCCGGCAGCGCCATCTGCTGGCCGCGAGGGGCGGGTGCGCGGCCTCCTGCGACGGGTTGTTTGGGGCGGAAACAAGCCCCACGCACCGGGGCGCATTTCCACCCGGACCTACGTCGCCTGCAGGCGCCACGTGCGCTCCGAGTCCTCGCCAAACACGCACGCACACTGACCTGTGACCCTCTGTTCTAAACGCCGGGCCGGAAAGTTCCAGAAGACTGACCGCCCCCATGCTCAAGGGACCCACCTACTGGTGAGGGCACCGCAGTGAGGAGGGGTCCAATCAGCCGGATAGAATATTACAGATCACGTGATGGGTGCCGAGAGCACACAGAGGGCACCTGCTTCTCTGATGTGTCCGTTTTTAATAAATAACATTTTTTATTGATTGATTTCAGAGAGAGAGAGAGAGGAACGGGGGAGGCAGAGATTGATTTTTGTTGTTCCACTCATTTGTGCATTCACTGGTTGATTCTTACACGTGCCCTGAGCCGGAATCTCACCTGCAACCCTGGGGCGTAGGGAGAACAGCCGGCTGAGCTATGGGATCGGGGCCAATAACATTAAAACAAACAAACAAACAAACAAACAAACAAACATGCTGAGTATATAGGACACAAAGTATAAGATTTGGTGTTTTTAACCGTCCTTTCCTTTGCCTCATCCTCTGGAAGAAACATAAGAACCTTACAGGGGCGTCTCCTCATAATCCAGTGAGGTGGGTGCTGTCTGTATGTCTGTTTCACAGACGGGGAAGCTGGGGCCCCAGGAGGTCACCGTGTCACAGAGGGCAGGGCCCGTGAGGGCGGAGCTGGGCTTAAATCAGACAAATGCCCGTCTAAGGGCAAAGCCGGCACAGCTTTAACAGCCTCTCTTCCCACCCCGGAGGTTGTGCGTGTGTTTTTCTACAGTGGACTGGTTTCCTTGAGAATAGAAATAATGTCTGGTCCCTCTCCACCCCTTTGCAGTGCCCTCCTTTGTCACTCAACACACGGGGACACGTGGGGTCAGAGGGTGGCACGTTTAGAATTCTACAGTGAAACCTGGGTACATGTGCGCCCCAAACCCCGTGTACCAGCCATGCTCTCGCTGTGCCCCCGCAGACCGGACATAGTGGGGGCTTGCTGCACGCAGTTTCTGGACAAGGCGCCTCAGCCCCCCACTGTCTCCCACCCCCAGAGACCCATGCCCAGGCGCCTTTGCCCCACCTTCCTTCCCCTCCCTCCCTCCTGGGCGGCGCCCAAGGGTTCCGCAGGTGGTCAGCATTTTGATCTTCAGAGAAGGGCCGAGCTGTGCTGCCTGTCCCACGGCAGAGCATTAGAGTGGGAAGGGCGACAGGATCTGCTTCTTGGCTCCGCCCCACCCCGCACCCCCTGGCCCTGGCCCTGGGCAGCAGCAGCCCCTAATTGTTACACTCCGCGACGACGATTGTGAAGTCAGCTCAGTGCACCCACATCCCAGCTGAACTCAGGGCGGGCCTGCCGCCTCCAGTTTCTCTCTGCTTCCTGTCTGCTTGGTTGCCCAGCGGGGTGATGGCGTCCGAGGTGTTCTGGAAAGTGGGGGATGGGGAGGAGGCCATGATGAAAAAGGAAACCTTCAACGTGTCGAACCCAATGTCGGAGCCCTTTCCGAACCCCAAGTCTATGAACAGGACGGTGGCCACCAAAGGATTCCCACTTTCCTCAAGGGGCAGTTTGTTTAACTTCACGGAGGAAGACATCAGCAATCTACCGTAAGTTTGGTCCTCTCCTCCTTTCTAAGCCCGGACCTGGCGGGGGCGGGGGGGGCGGGGGGGCGAGGGGGACTTGACCAAGAGGTGCTTCCTGGACCTGGCACAACCTGGGCCTTGGACGTCCTGGGGAGGGCCTGTAGGCTGGTCGCGTCATAGTTTCCTGACGTCGAATCAGTTCCTGGAGGCATGTAGGCCTCCCACTGCAGGAAGCCTTCCAGGATTAGTCAGAGATTTGTTGTTGTGTTGTTGTTGTTTACTTTTTATTGTTCAAGGACAGTTTTCTGCCCTTTCCCCTCACCTTTACCCCCACCCCAGCCATCTCCCCCCTCCCCTGATTCCACACCCCCCCACTTGGTTTTGTCCATGTGTCCTTTATAGTTGTTTGGAGATCTGTTGACTGTCCATCCCTGGTGTAGTTAGGGTCCTCACCCACTCCCCCAGACACCCCTGCCCCCTTTCTCTGCCCCATGGCTCCTCTCGCAGTCCTCCTTTTAATGCTGTCCCCTTCCTGGGTCCCCCCAGTAGCCTGTCTGTGTGCAGGCTGAGGCCTTCCGCTCCTCTTCAGAGATTCTGGGTCCCCTTTACTTCATTCCACAAAACTCTTGGAGCTCGCGCAAGGTGTCTGGCCCAGGGTTAAGTTCTGGAATGCACAGCTGAAAAGCACGGTGACACAGCTCCCCGTCTGGTGCGTGTGTGTCAAGAATCAAGAATAATACAGCATGGTCTGTGCTACAATAGGACACCTGGAGAAAATGGAAGAGGCTTAGTATATATAGCCTGGGAGAGGGTGCAGTCACGGGAGGCTTCTTGGAGGAGGTGACATGTGAGCTGAATGTCCTAGGAGTGGAAGGAGTGAGCCAGTGAAGGGGGGTGGTTGATGTAGGCTGAAGGAATGATCTGTGAGGCACCTTCATGGTGAGTGACCTTTACCGTCAGAAGGGCCCTGTACTTACTTTCATGCTCACTGTCACTCTCTCGAAATTCTCAATAACTTTTGAAGGGGACTCACAAACTGCCTTATTTTGCCATGTATAATGTGCCCCCACATTTTTGGCCCAAACTTTCAGGGGGAAAAATCTTTCATTTTAATTTTTAATTCAACTATTTATTTATATACTTGGGGTTTTTTTGTATTATAAAGGAATTTTTGAATTTGTTTTTGAACATATGGATATTATTATTGCTTTCTAGAGTTACACTTTAAAAAATTTTTTTAAAGATTTTATATATTTCTTTTTAGAGAGGGGGGAGGGAGGGAGAAAGAGAAGAGAGAAACATCAATGTGTGGTTGCCTCTCACGTGTCCCAACTGGGGACCTGGCCTGCAACCCAGGCATGTGTCCTGACTGGGAATTGAACCAGAGACACTTTGGTTTGCAGGCCCGTGCTCGATCCACTGAGCCACACCAGCCAGGGCAAAATTCTAAATAATTTTTGAAGGGGACCCACAAACTACATTGCTTGTCCTAATTACATGAAAGGGATATAGTACCCATTTGCTAAGGGACCTGCAAGTGGCAGGTGTGGCAGAAGTGATAAATGCTTCCAGGCAACTTCATGCTATACTGGGGAAGTCTAGGATTATGAGTCCAACTTCTACCCCTTACTGTACGGCTGTAGAGGAGTTAATTAAGGTCAGGGACTCCTCAGTCCCGCGTGTGGAAACTCGGGCTAACGCCCATCCAGCCGGATGGCTGTAAACCTCATAAGGGAGTGTGTCCAGCACACAGCTGGTGCCTGGCTGCCCTCCGCACCCACTGCAGCCCTGGCGTTTTGAAGAAGTAAATCTGAAACAGAGATTCGTGAGGACAGCTTGAAGTACAAATGGCATCAACACTCAGACTCTTCAGCCCACGAGTGACCTTGGTGGGGGGGTCATCTCTTCTAAACCCCCACCAGCGGCTGGCGTTGGAGGCGTGGGCTGGTCAGGGTTTCTCAAAGGTGTTTGAGCATTCACCCCAACATATGTACGTTCATCCGTTAATTTTACATGCTATGTATATTAATACTGTTCAGTGTTATAAGTTGTAAGTAAATAAATTACTAATCACATTAAATATTAAATAGTGAAGCCCTGGCTGGTGTGGCTCAGTGGACTGAGAGCACCAGCCTGAGAACCAAAGGGTCGCTGGTTCGATTCCCAGTCAGGGCTTGTGCCTGGGTTGTGGGCCAGGTCCCCAGTAGGGGGCGCATGTGAGAGGCAACCACATGATGTTTCTCTCCTCCCCACCTCTCGCTCTTTTCCCTTCTCTAAAAACAAATAGAATCTTTAAACATAGATATTAAATAGTGCATACATATTAGTAAAGCTTATTTTTCCTTTAAACATGTTTCCACCCTGCAAGTACGTCATTGGGGTCATTCCCCGGGGCCTTTGCACCCCACTTTAGAGGGAGGACTTAGTTTTAGCAGCGTTTCTCAAATTGCGGTTCTCAGAATCAGCTGCATCAGAATCGCCTGAGGATCCTAGGAACTGTAGCAGCTTCCCCAGTCCCACCCCAGCTGGGGACCAGGTACCAGGAATCTGCATTTTCCACGAGTATGTGCCCTGGGGGGTGAGTGCGCTGCTGCCCAGCAGTGAGGATTTTCAGAAGCAGCTGGGGACCCACGTTGAGTCCCAGAGCTTCCGGCTACTCGGGCTGGCTGGCGTGGCCCCTCCCCCGTGGGGTCACGGGTCCCCCCTCGCACTCCAGGAGGCCGATGCCGGAGGAGGAGTCCGAGTGCAGCTCCGACGACAGCAGCACCTCCCCCGTCTCGTCCCCCCTGCTGAACCCCGTCAAACTGGCCGTGACCCAGCCCAACAGCAGCTTCTTTGCGGGGCTGCTGGAGGGCGAGCTGAACAAGCTCAGCCCCTCCCCAGCGGCCGATGCAGACAAGGAGGACCTGGCCCTCTGCCTCCACCAGCCGAAGTCCCAAACAGCCCCCGGGGGCCTGCTGGACCTCGACAACCCCGAGGTGGACATGGACACCACCTCCACGTCCTCGAAGTCCTCCGTGGTCACGGACGTGCCCGAGGCGCCCTTCATCTGCGAACACACAGTCAGCGACTACACGGCTGTGGTGCGTGTCCTGTCCCCCTCGTGCGTCTGCCACAGGCAGAGCGGCCACCCCCCGTGTGCCAGGCGCTGAGCTGAGCTCTGTGGGGCCTGGGAAGGTGCCCCCCACCTACATCCCAACCTCAAGTTCATGGGTTAGGAAAGAGGGCATGTGCGTAAGAAACTCCCGTGCAAGCTAGGAAGGGCTCCTTGCTGTAGGGAGAGTTCGGACCAAGTGCCACCAGGACACCAGAGGGGAGGAAATATTACTTCCGGGTGCAGGGATCAGCGTGGTGGCTCTTGGTGACGTTTGAGCTGGGGCACAGAGGTAGGATTTAAGTATCGGGAGCTGGGTTGTGGGGGAGGTATCCCGGGGAGGGGCTGACACTAGCAAAGGAGGTGGGGCCGTGGGGGAGGGAACACCCAGGCCCCAGCCCGGGGCTTTTCACACGTTCCTGTCTCTGCAGATCTGATCATCTCGTTAAAAAAAAAAAAAAAGAGTCCCGGCCCCATCTCTAGAGGGTCTGATTCAGTTGGTCTGGGGGTGAGGCCTGAGAATTTGTACCGCTAGCAAATGCCCAGGTGGTGCTGTTGCCCCCCCCCCCACCACGTGCTGAGCAGCCCCAACCCGAAGTGATGTTGGGGGGGCACGGGGGGGGGGGAGTTCGTCCGGGGTCATTTTCCGGAAGCCCTCCCATGTTAGGCTCCTTGATAGATTTTCCTGTAAGCAGTAGGGAACTGCTCTTTGCAGAGCTTTTTATCTGGTGATGGACGCAATCCAAGCTGAGCTTCTGGAAGATGAATCTGGAAGCCCGATTGCTGGAGGGCCTGGGGCCCTGTGTCTTCCCAGTCAGTCCACCAGCACTGGCAGCATCCTACGGCGACCTGGGGGAAATTTAAGTTTTTTTTCCCCCTCTCACTGCATCCCCGACTTAGGCCTCTGGCATCAGGCCAGCAGCCTGTGTTTTAACGAGTCCCCCGGGGTGTTCCGATGCATGCCCATCTGAGAGCTTCTGGCCTGGGGAGAGGAGTCGGCCGTCCAGGAATCTGCAGCGTTATTAAAACCCCCTCGGATCTGTAGTCAGGGTCACTTGGCGACCCCTGTTGTGGCGCACGGGCTCTGGGGCTGTCGGTTTGATCCCCGACTGTCACTTGATTGCTGTGTGACCGAGGGCCAGCCACTTACCCTCTCTGAACCGTTAACCCCACTGGCAATGAAAGAGGCGGACAAGATAACCTCCCAGGTCCCTCTCAGCGGACGTAGTCTGGAACGGCACTTTTCCACTGGTGTGCTGCAAGAACTTTTAGGACACGCAAGTGCTGTGGCGCAACCGGTTGGCTAGTTACTGTCAAGTATTGCATGTTTTAAAAACTCACAAGATACACCGGTTGAAAATCGCCGGTTCTGGAAGAAACGGAACGAAGGCGCCCTGCTCGGTGGGTGGGGCTGTGCAGGAAGACAGTGCAGGCAGCAGGCACTGGGGTGGCAGTGGGGGTGGGTGGGGGACGAGGAGCAGGGGGCAGGGGGAGGAAGTGGGCATTCCCACCCGTGTGGGGTGGTGCCGGGGGCCCGGGCGAGGGGAGGACAGGCCGGGCCGGGTCTGAGGAAGCCTCCGGGGGCTGTCTCCTCCCAGATTTCCTGGACCTACGCCCTGAGCAAGCAGCCGGTCAGTTTCTACCAGGTCCTGCTGCAGGAGGTCGTCAAGAACGACAGCAACCTGAAGACAAAGAGCCGCCCGTGGATCTTCCACAAGATCCTGGGCACCACCGTCAAGCTGATGGAGCTGAAGCCGAACACCACCTACTGCCTCATCGTCCGGGCGGCCAACACGGCCGGGGTGGGGAGGTGGTGCGAGCCCTACAAGGTGAGCCCTGGGGGCGGGGCGCCCAGGGGTGGGGAGAGAAGTCTGCCCTGGGGGCTTTGAGGGTTGGGCCCCCTCCACCCCCACAGCTTGTCTCCCTGCTTGCTTGCTTTCCACCCACGCAAATACACATCAGTTTCAGGCTGCTGTCTCCTGGGAGGTTTATGAACTAAGCCACTCTGGCGCCCACTGGGAATGCAAAGTAATGTGCTGGTCAGCATCACTGTAATGGTTGCCTTCCTTCCCACTCGGTGTCAGTGATTGTGAATGGCTCCGGAAGTGCAGGGCACTGACGGAAACAGGGAAGAGGCTGGGGGGGGGTGGGCAACAAAGAAGGGAGCGGCCTGGGGGTAGGGAGGGGCACGGGGTAGGGGAGAGGCCTGCATACACAGCTCCCTGGTTGGAAACATCACAGACTTGAATCGTACCTCTTCGTACCTGCTTCTTCTGGTGTTGCCAGGCAGGCTGGCCAGGCCACGCCGCTAAGATCCCATTTAGCGAACAAACCAGGGCTGGCAGCGACAGAGAGGCCAGGCCCGGGAAGGAAGTCCCAGGGGTTTTCTCGTGTGATTCCAGTTTGCAACCGTCGCCAATGACCTCAGCAGCTTCCCCGAGAACAACCCCATCCAGGTCACGGTGCGGCGCAGGGAGCCCCAGCGCAAGACGGTGGCCATCAGGCCGGAGGAGATGCGGAGGCTGGAAGATCTGGAAAACCTGCTTCCTTACTGAGCGGGGGGGGCGGGCCAGCACCCTGCAGGCCAGGTCAGCCACGCACGGCCCACAGCTGCTGGGCGCCCCCTCCCCAGATCTGGGCTAGGTCCAAGTCCCTCATTAAAGAACTGCAAGCTGCTCAGCACCCCTACATTCCGCTTCACACTGTGTGTGCACAGCCTCAGCTGGGCTGCTGGCGCCCACCTTCCTGGCTTCTGCCAGGACCGAGAGTACAGGTGGGCAGGGAGGACAGAAGGGCAATGCCACGCGCGGCCACCTACTGCCCGGCTCTGCTGCACCGCCCTCTGTCTTCCCTCGGGGAGGAAGAGACTGGCACTCGGCCGGAACGCACACCCCCAGGAGAACCAGCAACGTGGGACACAGGTGGTCTCCCCCACACCTGCTCAGCTGCAGACTTGAGCTCTGGCGGGATATGGTGCCAATTACGCAAGCTTTGGGGCATCTGTTTCATTTTGGCTCTTCTTGGATGTGAGGGCACAAACCACTTAAGCTTTCTGGGCTGTTTCGTCATCAAAAATATGGGGGCGTGAGACCATTCCAGGCATGGCTGCTGGGTCACCGTGAGGGTCATGTGAGAGCACACTCAGAAAGTGCCTGCAGACGGGGGCTCAGCAACTGCCATCTCCCTTTGCCCCCCTGCCCAGCATCACTGGCAGAGACGTGCAAGGTGGAAGCTGAGAGCCGCAGCCAGGGACGTGCAAAATTGTAAAAGCACAAGTGGGGGTGGGGGAGGGTGCCCCACGAGATTGGACATGCTGTGGCCCTGAGCAGTCTGTACTAGTGAGGTTTAGAAGTTCAACCTGGCCCTGGCCGGCTAGCTGAGCAGAGTTGGTTAGAGCATCATCCCGATACACCAAGGTTCTGGGTTCGATCCCGGGTCAGGGGGCACACAAGCAACCAATGAGTGCATAAGTAAGTGAAACTACAAATCTGTGCCTCCTCTTTCCTTTCCTCTAAATTCAATTAAAAAAAAAACAAAAACAAAAACCATCCGACCTCAGCCATCCACCTTAGCACTGGAAGAGGAGAAAGTGAGGGCAGGATGCATGGAGGGCTAGATCTTGGTGGGGAGTCTCTTCAGGACACACAGTCCTGGGGGAGGGGGGGACAGAGAACCACCCTCTGGTGTCATACCACACCCCATTCTGCTGGAGCTCTCGTCACCGCGTGCCCCATCAGCGGTCCAGGGCAGCCACTGCCTTCCTGAGTCCCGAGCACCTGGCGCTGAGCTGGGGCACACGGCATGGCCTCGAGAAGTGTGTTGGGTGGGGGCGGAGGGAGGCGCCCAGCAGCACTCCCTGTGCCCATGACCGTGTTGTCGGCGGTGCCCTCCGATACCACGAGTAGCCTGGAGCCAGTGTGACCGAGGACGGCACTTGGAAATGCACGGAGCGCTCGTTCACGCAAACAGCCCCATCAGACAGCACGGCCTCCGCCCGGGCCTCAGCCGGCCTCCCCCTCGCGGGCACAGGGCAGAGGGAGGCCAGGCGACTCCCGGGCCCGTGTGGTTTGGGGGTAGCCCAGTGCAAAGGGGGCTCAACACAGGACTTGGCACAGACCTTGGTTGAGCCCGGATTCTAGACAAGGGATTATCACCCAGACACACAAAATATAACTTATTTATTTGGTCACAGAATCTGGGGTCTGCCCCTACATGGGGCTGACATCAGGGAAAGGAGGCAGAGGCAGCGGCAGGGGCCTAGTCACCGCCTGGCCTCCCGCCGACCCTGGTGGCACCAGGAAGGCCCAGGGGGACAGCCGAGGGCTGAGCTCCGCGGTAGCCTCCTGTGACCTGCGAACTCCGGCGCTGGGGAGGAGCCCCGCTGGTGTCCGAGCACGGCCAGCAGGCCACCCCTGTTCTCCGGGTCACCACCTGGCCACTGGGCTGCCAGGCAGGCAGCTGCCACAGGCCGGGTCCAGCTGGGGGTCAGAGCGCTGTGGGGCATCTCATCTCCTCCATCTGTGCAGAAGGGGAGGGGACGGGATGGGGGTCCTCCGTGGGAAAGGGAGGCTGCCATGTGATCCCAGGGGACCCCTACGGGCCTGTGGTTTCCCTCAGCCAACCAGGGCCTGGCTACTGCCTCACCACAGCCTCAGACCGGGGCCTGGCCCCCTGGGGAGCCTGCCAAGGCTGTCCTGTGACAGTCCTGTACAAGTACACAGTGCCTCAGGTCCCAAGGTGCGTCACCTCCTAGCTTTGAGCTTCCTGTCTACCGAAGTGTGACGACTCCAGAGACAGGTTAACCTGGCTGTCCCAGATGGCACAGTGAAGGCAGAACCCGGATCTGTATCGGGTCTTGGGACCTCTGGGTGCAGCGCTAACAACGAACTCCCGCCTGGCTCAGCAGCAACCCTGGGCCCGCCCTCGGGAGAGGGCCCTCAGCACTGGTGGGGGCTGCCACCGCGCCTGCCATTGCCACAGACCTCCCATAGCCCACTGAGAACCTGGCTCCACCCGCACACCCTCCTGGGGCAGTCTGGGGCCCTGGCGAGCCCCCCCGAATTCTACACCACAGGGCAAGTCACCAGGAGCAGCCCCCGCCAGGGCGGCAGAGCTGAGCCCACCAACCGCCACTTCCCCCAACTCACATCCGGAGGCACTTGTCCTTCCCCCCGCTTGCCACGCGCTGGCCATCTGGGCTCCAGTCGACAGCGTACACCTGAACCGAGGCGGAGGGGGAAGAGGGGAGGCGGGGCCACGAGGAGGGTGAGGCAGAAGGGCCCGGCTTCGGCCCCATGCCCACCCCGGGCCCACGGGCGGCGGCCATACCTCATCCGCGTGGCCGGGCAAGTCGGCGGCCAGCTTCTGGGCCTTCACGTCCCACACCTTCAGGGTGCTGTCGCTGCTGCCGCTGACCAGCAGCCGGCTGTCGGCCGACCACGCGATCTGGTACACGGCAGCCACGTGGCCGCGCAGGGAAGCCAGGTACCTGGGCCGAGGGGAGGAGGTGACGATGAAGATCCTCCAACACATCCGAAGGGTCCCTCCGCGCCCACGGCAGCCGTCTCCGACCCTGGCTGCGGGTCAGAATCACCTAGGAACTCGTGCAAAATGCCCCCGCCTGGCCCCCCCACCCCCCCAGGACAGCGGAATCATCAGTGCCCGGTATGAGTCTGCAAAACTTCTCTGAGTTGTTTCTAAGGTGCCTCTTGCCAGGACTCCACGCCGACTCTGCTTTGCACGCCCTAGAATCCCGCCTGCTCAGTAGCCCATCTGCCCGACATCCCCCCGATATGAAGTCGCTTGCCGACAGGTGGCACGGACCAGCACGTGGCCAGACCACCTGATCCGTGCGGACTGGCTGTGGCTACTGGGACAAGTCATTGGGCATCTCTGATACGCAGCCACCGGACCTTAAAAAGAAACTGAATGGACACATGGTGCCAGGGCTTCCCTTGCTCCTCCGTGCCTCTGCCTCCCCTCCAACCTGACGCCCGCCGAGGGCGCTGGGCCTCAGCACACCAGAGCTTCTCGGACTGAGAGACAAGCAGAATCACCTGGCAACCTTATTAAACTGCAGATTCTGTGGTTACCATCCATAAATCGACAAACAAGTGTCAGTGAGGACGTGGAGAAAGAGGAACCCTCGTGCACTGTCGGTGGGAATGTGAATTGGTGTAGACACTGTGGAAAACAGTATGGGCGTTCCTCCAAAAAACTAAAAAATAAAACTACCAGATGACCCAGCATTTCCACTTCTGGGTATTTATCCCAAGAGATCCAAAACACTAATTCGAAAAGATAATAGGCATCTCTGTGTTCACTGCAGCGTTAGTTACAACAGCCAAACTATGGAAGTGACCCAAGTGTCCGCCGACAGGTGAACGGGTAAAGCACATGCGGCACATGTGCACAACTTGCACGCTGAGTGCTGGCCTGTGAACCAAAGGGTTGCCGGTTCGATTCCCAGTCAGGTCACGTGCCTGGGTTGCAGGCCAGGTCCTCAGTAGGGGGCACGCAAGAGGCAACCACACATCGATGTTTCTTTCCCTCCCTTTCTTCTTCTTTTCCCCTCTGTCTAAAAATACAATAAATAAAATCTTTAAAATAAATAAAAAAGCTCGTTCACAGCGAGCTTTTTGTCAGTGTCAAACTGACAAAACTTTAAACCACCTCATTCAAGGTTTCTTATTGCTGAGGAGGAAACAGAGGCTCAGGAAATCCAACACTCGCCAAGGCCACACAGCTAATACGTGGCGGAGCCACGCTCCTTCCAGAGCGACAGTGGCCTCTTCTCCCCCCCTCCACACGCCCACTCACTTGCCCGTCCGGCCATCCCACAGCTTGATGGACTTGTCAAAGGAGGCGCTGGCAACCACGCGCGAGTCCGGGGAGAAGAGCACCTGGTTGATGAGGGCCTGGTGTCCTGTCATCCGAGCGAGGGGCTTCTTGTCCTCTGCTGGGGACCACAGGAATAAGGTGAAGTCGTCCGAGCCAGACACCAGCCTCTCTGGGCCCTGGCCCTGGGGGAGGCAGAGAGCACACGGCGTTGGGTTTGGTCTCGGGCGGGCAAGTCCGGCCTCAGCTGCCAACTCCAGCGACGAGGCCGGGCCAGCCGCTCACGCACACGAGTTACTCCCCCCGAAAAGGAACCGTGTGAGCACAGGACAACTTCTAAGACGAGTGAATTATATGGAACAGCAGGGGCCGGGTTGGTGCGCCACAAAGGGGAAGGGCTTCTCAGCCCAGGGTCTGGGCTATTCGGTGACGGGGCGCGTTCTGAGAAACGCGGCATTTGGCGACGGTGTCGCTGTGTGCACGTCAGTCCCAGAGGGCACCCACAGGACCTGGGGGGGCACAGCCTCCCACACGGCGAGGTTGGGTGGCACAGCCCAAGGCTCCGAGGCGAGAAGCCTGCACAGCGTGTCACCGCACAAAACCACCCGAGAGTGAATCAAGCACGCGAGAAAACGGTGCAGAGACACGCGACGCACGCGAGGCCGAGGCCGAGGCCACGGCCATGGCCACCGCACAGGGCACACCATTCACAGTGAGC